ATCCTAGACCTTTGTGTAGGAAAAAGTCTAGAAGGTCGGGATTGCGGTTGGGATCTGTTGGCCAGTATGTGGGAGTATTAGGTGAAAGGATGTTGCTGCGATGGGAATTAAGTGCAGATAGCAGTGTTCGCCCTCGGGAATTTGTGGATCTGGCTCCCCATTGTTGGTGTTTTGCATTTAAATCTGCACCTAGGATGAAATGGTGTCCTAAGGAATTCAGGAAGGAAATTATTTGGGATTCGGAAATGGGTATTTTAGGCGGGGAATATGCCGCAACTAATGTTATTGGGTAAAGGGAAGTTTGGATTATTACAGCAGTGGATTGTAGGAAATTATGGGTTGGTAAGGGAAATAAATGATGGGAGAGAGATCGGTGGATAATTATAGCAGTGCCAGCATGTGCTGTTCCATCAGGATGATCGGTTCTATAAATATTGTAGCCAGGAACGTTGATTTGTCGTTTGTTGGTTAGTCGGGTTTCAGTTATTAGTGCTATGTCGATGTTTTTGTCATGTAATAAGATTGTCAGTTCGTTGATGTGATTTCGAATACCATTCGCATTCCATAGGAGAATGGAAAGGGATTTGGTTGAGGACATTTATGGATTTCTCGGCGGTGGAATGAGGTTGGATATAACATTGGTAAGTAATGAAATAAGAGGGGTGATAAGGGATCTAAATTCAGAGAGGAAAGAAGTTAATAGGCTTGTGAGGTCAGTGGAATTGGAAGGAGGAGGAATGTATGTCTGGGTATTGAACCTAGGTTCAGGGATGGAGGGAGGGTGGTTTTAGACGGCTCGGAACACATTTCTGCGACTCCAAGTTGTGACCTAACAAACTTGCAAAATTCTTCAAAATTAGGAACTGTCTCTTCGCTGAGACTATTATCGAACATTCTTCTTGTATCGGGTCTACAACGTTAAGTCCAAGATGCAGCAAAATAAAATCAGCGAGGTTGTGGAGTTTAAGATCTTTTAAGGCGTTGTAATTATCCTCAAATGTATCCAGAAAGCTTCTGAAGTTGGTAGAATTATCAACCGAAAAAGATTTAAATCGTATAATCTTGTTAAGATGGTAGGCCGTAATGATCCTTTTATTGCTGTAGCACTTTACTAATTTATCATAGGCCAAGCTGTAATTTTCTGCATTAAACTCGATTGAAGAAATAGCCTGTGAAGCAGGATAAACCAAAAGTGATTTGAGGTATGAAAACTTTACTATTTCTGTATAATTTCGATGATGGATTAAGGCATCAAATAATGACTTAAATGATGGAAATTTTTCGTACTGACCGGAAAATGGAGGAATTTACAAATCTTGCAATTTAGGATAAGCTACTAGATCAGCCCTGTTCTGAGAAGCGGGAACTATGTGCCCAGCTTTAATTAATTTCTCGTGCGGGAGATGGTGTTTGGCCAGTGGCTACCCGTGGAATAGGGAGATACAACCAGTTCCTCTCAGGGCTTAAGTGTTATCTTTATCTTGTAGATCTGCCCCCACCACTCGCCGTAACGCGGGCTATTTATACGAAAACTCCTCTTTGGCACAACCATAGACAGTATTTTCATAGAAAACACTCCTCAAAAGATAACAGTTGACCCTGTTAATTCCGGAAAGTTACAAAAAGTCGAAGCGGGGAGGGAGGATGGAGATTCGCAATCTAAAATTCAACATTACTTTCATAAAAAGCACCCTCCAAAACATAATAATCGACCTTCATATCAATTATATCCGAAAAATTACAAAAGGTAGATGCTCTGGGGCGCAATCTCAAATCCGACAGTATTTTTATAAAAAGCGCCTCCCAAAACATAATTGTCGACGCTCACATCGATTTAATCCGAAAAGTTACAAAAAGTCGATGCTCTGGGGCGCAATCTCAAATCCGACAGTATTTTCATAAAAAGCGACCCCCAAATCATATTAGTCGACCCTCATATCGATTTAATCTGAGAAGTTACAAAAAGTCGATGCCCGAGGGCTCTATATCTCAAATCCGACAGTATTTTCATAAAAACCGCCCCCTTAATATATTAGTCGATTTCCATACCGATTTATTCTGAAAAGTCATAAAATATAGATGCCCGGGGGCTCTATTTCAATTCCGACAGTATTTTCATAAAAACCGCTCCCCAAACCTTGATATGGAGGAAATCCGAAAAACTCAAAAAAGTCGCAACGCAGTGGTGTAGTTTTAAAATGGATATCATTTAAAAAAAACTATGGATCGGAAAATAAGTAAATTAGCCCTTAAATAGAAGAAATATAAAATTACAGTCAAATTATTCGAAAAAACTCAAAGAACAAATAAAAAGATAATAGATAACTTAATAAATTATTCGTTATCTATTATCTTTTATTTAAGATAAATTTTGCCCAACACTGCTACCAGCACATGGTCAATTTGTTTTTTTGCTCCTTTAAGGCTAACCCAGGTCTCAGGCTAACCCAGGACAGGGGTTCGCATCCAATCTTTGCATTAAAGTCATCTATGACTAATTTTATGTCATACCTATGAGCTTGGTCCACAATATTTTCCAATTAATCGTAGGAATCATCCTTTACCTCTTCATCTTTATCTTCAATTGGTACATACACATTAATTATCATGATATTAAATCAATGACCTTTAAATCTTAATAAGCTAATCCTTTCGTTTATCGGAGTGAAGTTTATGATTTTTCTTGGCACTGGACTAACTATAAATCCTGTGCCAGATGTGTTTTTTTTTATCGTTTCTCTCGAAGTAGAATAGTGCATGGCCATAATTGTTTTGCCAACATCTGGAAACCTTACCTGTTTAATGGCTGTTACCGGTATGTTATACCTTTTTAGTTCCTTGACTACCGTTTGTGGGGCTCCTGATCTGTATAAACTACGTATGTTCCAAGATCCAATGTATAGTCCGTGATTCAAAGCCGAGGTGGTTACCATATTTAGATAGTCTGATTTTTCGAGTCTTAGTTTAGGTTTCGCAATGTGTTGATTTTTCCGGGATAGCATTATTAACCCTATGACCAACCCCCAACCTGGAGGACCAGGAGTTATGGTGTAAGACACAGGGGTAGGGACCTGTGAATCTCTGGGTGGGGACGTACCATGTGAGAATCGAACCCTCGCCGGTGAGGTGTAGTGGCCGAATTAATTGGGTAGCACTTACAATTTTTAATTTTTTATATTTATTATTAATTTTTTTTTTTTCTGACGAACGGGATTTAAACTTCAATAAAAATCTAAACAAAAAGCCTCTAAGTGTTAAGTGTATTTTTGCAGGCTCTTCAACTCTCTCGACCACCGCAGCCCCTGAATGTGTATATATAGATGTATGTACATATAAATATATATGTGCAATGCTATGATAAAGTCAGTTCTAATATATGGCTGTGAAACCTCGACACTATTCAGCACCCTCAAGAAAAAGTGTTGAAAGATTTAAGACAAAAAACCTCCACACAATAACCAGAGTAATCTGGGATCAGAGTACTAAAACATGGAGAAGAAAGACAAAAAAGGACTGCTTACAGAAACTGATCAATCAATATCCCATGATATGAAGGCATAGAGGTTAATATGGGGTAATATGAAAGGGGGGTGGGCATGTGGCCCGTAGCAATCCATCAGGAAACCTCTGCATAACTATGAATGCCTCAATAGAAGGCAAAATACCAGTGGAAGGCCAAAAAGCAGATGGATAGATAGAATCTACAAAGATGCATTAGAGCTACTTGCAGATAAATGGGAAGAAATTGCTCAAGACAGGCATAAATAGAGCAGACTTGTTAAGGTGGCATAAGACCTACATGGTCTGTAATGCCAACAGAAAAAAAAAAAAAAAAAAAAAAAAAAAAAAAAAATATATATATATATATATATATATATATATATATATATATATATATATATATATACACTGACAGGCAAAAAAATCCACCCACTTGATTTTTTCATGTTTTCATCTAAAAATATTTCTGCCACTTGTAAAAAAAGTTGTATTTGTATATAATACATGGTATTTGTAGATAATACTTAGTATTTATGGAATTTTATAATCTTTTTTACCTTTAATAATCAAAATGTGATTGGGTAAGAAAGATTAGAGAAAAAAAAATTGAAAAACGAACCATTATTATTCTAAAAGAAATTAATTACATCATCGTTTAGTAGCGCATGTTTCCTCCTCTTGCCTTCACTACTTCTTGAAGACGCCTCGGCATACTTTCCACCAGTCGGGAAATGTCCCTTTGCTGGAGGATAGCCCATTCCTCCCGAAGAGCCCTTTCAAGGTCCTGCAGTGTATCAGGAAGTGTTGCACGCGCTCTTATTCGTCTTCCGAGGTTATCCCATAAATGCTCAATGGGGTTCAAATCTGGAGAACGTGCTGGCCAGGCTAAAACCTCAATATTGTTCTGTTGAAGGAACGTCTGCACTATGCGAGCGACATGTGGGCGTGCATTATCGTGCATTAGAATAGAACGATCGCCGATTTCGTTGAGGATAGGCAACACATGAGGTTCCAAAATCTCATCTACACAGCGAATGGCCGTCAAAGACCCTCCACGAACAACAACCAATTCTGTGCGGCGCTCCATTGAAATCCCAGCCCACACCATTAAGGAACCACGTTGGAAAGATTGGCTCTAGGAAAAATTACAGGCTGCATATCTTTCGTTTCTTCTTCTCCACACCCTTTCACGCCCGTCTGGAGATCGAAGAGCGAATCTTGACTCATCTGTAAAAAGTGCAGTACTCCATTCGTCCCTAGTCCAATGGCTGTGTTCTCGAGCAAAAGCCAGCCGTGTTACTCTGTGAGTTCTGGTCAACTCTGGTCCTCTTACTGGACGAAAAGCCATTAATCCATACTCATTTAATCTTCTCCGAGTGGTACGTATTTATTCATTAAAAACAATAGACCAATCCAAAGCAGAAATATTTTTAGATGAAAACATGAAAAAATCAAGTGGGTGAAATTTTTTGCCTGTCAGTGTATAAATATATATATATATATATATATATATATATATATATATATATATATATATATATATATATATATATATATACATATACATATATATATATATAATTTCACATATTACTAATCTGTTAAAGATTTATACTTAAAACATAACTCAAATGGAAATATAGAAATAACCAGACATGAGTTAGCATATAAGCCTATCTTTATTTATCATATTAATTTTGTTTATCACATATTGATTGGTAATAAAACACTTTCTTTTTAAATATCAGTTTGGTTTTAAATAAAAAAAATAAATAAATAAATACTAATATGGAATGTACATAATTGTTATTCCATAAAATACTTGTAGATCAGTTACAAGATAAAACAAGAAAATATAAATAATATGAATACTCAGTCACATTCTTTCAATATTAAAATGACATTATAAATAAACAAACTAATACCTACTAAAAAGTTTGACATTTAATATAACTTCAAGTGACAGACAACCTTTAATCATGATTAATAATTCTCAATTTTTCAACTTCTGTTTTAATTTTAGTTCAGATTTCATGATGAATGAAATTTAATACAGTGGCTTTTAAAGCATTTTTTCGAAACACAGTGGAAAATAAGTAACATGAAAATTGATAACAAATTAATTTCTATTTAATAAAAAAGAGTCAACATAAAATAAATATTTAAAATAACAAAAAAATAATTAAATGTAAAAAAAAATCATTTATTTACTTCTTTTTAAATATCAAATTTAAGTTTAAGAAATTGAGCCCAAAATGACCACTCTTCCAATAGAACTAATATCTATTTCAAATAGGCTTAATTTCTGCATAATTGTGAAGTTAAAAAGGCAAGCATAATGCCCTATCTAAAAAACAACTATATTCATAACACAGATACAAGCACACATGCATGTGTATGCGCACATACACACAAAAATGCATTCAATTGCATCAAAATTGTTCCTTAAGGACACTGTTTTTTCGTTTTTTTTAATAACACATCATAATCTGATTCTTTGTTTATCTGCATTTATATGAACAAAACTACAAGTAAGGGCATTATGTACCATGATTTTTTTTAATCAATTAAATATAATATTCTAATTTAGGGAATGTCGGTATAAAAATTACAAAAATTATTTTTCAATAATCTTCTAAAACTTAGAGATTTCACATTAACATATTAGAATGATAAAAAAATAGTTTTTACATTTATTATACTAAAAACAGAAAAACAAAACTAAATATTTTATGGAATATTTAAGACTTAAAAACCTGCAATCTTTCTTTTTCTTTTTTCAAAAATTATAATTATAACAGACTAGTAAATCAAATGAATTTTACCATGGAAAAATTAAGAAAACAATTGATTAATATTATTGTAATTCAGTTATTCATTGCACTGCTGTGGAGTACTTACGAGCTACCCACCTCTAAATATTCAAGTTTAACACAACCAACAAAAATGGTAACATCAATACGTAAATGAGAAAATATTGAAATGAGTATTTATTAAATGTACAGTTATTATCATATACATTAATTAATGCCAGTTTCTTGCAATGTTTTATGGATTGTTTTAATATTTACAAGTATGGCAAGTACCTCATAATCAAATAATCACAATTATTTTTACAATAAGAATAATCTTTACAATATCACAAATTAATTTAGAATATCACAAATTAATTTGAAAAAGATATTATAAAATATCCAAAGCAATATGAGAAATATTTGCAATTTTTTTTTTTTTATATATTACATTTTCATATCATCTGGCAAAAACAAGCAATAATCAGTAAACAAAGCTTGATATACTACATATTTATAACAAATCTATGTACAATAAATCAATTGTATGTATGTATGTATGTATGTATGTATGTATGTGTATATATATATATATATATATATATATATATATATATATATATATATATACATTTTTTTTTTAAAACAAGAAGTTGAACAATATTATGTTGCTGTATCATGATGAAAAAACAAATCTAATTTTTTACAAACACTTAATTTTATACATCAAATTAAAGAAGTTTATTTCACATTAATTAAATACACTACAAAACTATAAAATTATTTAACAATTGAGTATAAAAAAATATAAACAATTTTTCAATGATTTTACCTAATACTTTAGGAAAGGCTTCCTTATAGTATGACCTATTTACATATCTGATATGTGGAAAAGGGTTAATATTAAAACGGTAGCTCTGGATTTGGTAACCATACAAAGAAATAATTTATATTTACATTCATATATTACTAAACTTATAGTTACATAACAAGGTGAACGTTAGCTGCTTTATACAAAATTCATTGCAAACAAGCCTGCAGCTTTTCAATCCATTCTTGAGCAGAAGATGAATCAGCAGCACAAAAGTTATAAGTTCTCCGGTTTGTTCGTAGCTAAAAAATCAAAAATTTAATATTAAAAAATTCATATGATTAGATGTTATAAAGTTTTATGAAGTAATAATAATCCGTACATATATTATTACAGTAAGACTCGAAATCAGTTTTGTACCAAATATAAGCTCCTGTCATGCTCAAATACCATGAATGGGGTACCGTTGGATTCAGAATTTCAAGGGGGGTTAGCGAATCGTATTCTTCACTTTTGTTTTTCTTTCTAAAATAAATAAATTCGATACAAACATTTTGCTAGGCTTCAATGCCTGAACAGTAGTAGGTCTGTAGATCGATACGGGACAAATTGGATCTAGAAGATTTTGATGCGTACAGCAAGACCCGGATAGTTCCTCCGGAACTATCGGATCCTGCGTTTTTAAACCCAAAAACGTACTATTTTCGAGATAACGCAAGGCATAGGGTTCGCATCTACACAACCTTACATTAATTGTAGTACTGTCATTGAATACATGTCTCATTTCGTCGACTTGAGGTCTCTATGATCGAGAGAGGAGTTTATATTATTTATCGATGGTGTTTTTGATCGGCAAGCCATATCATCGTCAATTTTTCACCAAATCTTAAGATCGAGCCACCAATTTCGAAGGCTTCCTTCTCCTTCAGGCGGACAAAATAGTCCAATCATCCCGAAAATTCAGGCAAAAAAGTTATAAAAGAAAACGAACTATATTTGAGAATAACTAAAAAATTACACACTTTTCCCTCGGTTATGCCCGTGATTATATAAAAGATTACTAAATTCTCTACAAAATGAAAAAAGAATCATCGAAATCTATTAGAAATTTTTCCAATATTTTATTTTTATTTTCGATTAATATTCATTAGGAAAGTTCAATTATAGCCCATTTCATTTGAAAATAACTATATATTTGGCATATAGCTATAGTATCAGTACGACGTTGAAACAATTTGTACTGACCAAAGGAGGAAAGTGGGTTCAAATATTATTTTTTTAAGGGAAAACAGAGTTGAGATTTGTATTTCGCACCTCTATAAAGCCTCAAATACGAATTTTCATAGAAATAAAAAAAATAATTTTTTTCACCAAATCGAAACCAAGCCTCCCCCCTTCGATCTTCTTTCCAAAATCACAAAAAGTGGGGTAACATAAAAATGACTCCACGTATCCTCATGAAAATTTACATCAAGTTAGGAATACTTAAGCTACACGAAATGACACAAACCAGACCCATATAAATATAATAGAACTAGAGATATAAAACAAAAACCTTTGAGGAGTTTTTTGATATTTATTGTTTTTAAACGCGTCAAATCTAAAAGTTATTTATATGGTTATGCTCATGATTATATAAAAGACTACTTAATTCCCTACAAAAGAAAAAAAAATCATCGAAATCGGACAAGTTTTAGCAAAGATACAGCTTACTGACATTTTTAAACATGTTGGTTCCAAACAAAAACGAAGATTTAAATTAATTTTTGTTTTCTTTGTCGATTATATTTATCGATAAAGTAACATTTGATATCTTTATCTTTTGATAGGTTGCATTATTTTATTTTCGTATTAATCTGGCATTTGATAACAATATGCTGTGCAAATTTTCGCACGGGCCTACTAGTAGATAATAATAAGATAATGATTATTGTATTTGAAAAGTCACCGAACCCATCTATCACTATATCACTAAAACTGTCAAGATTTTCACAGCTAACCATGTTTTATCAAGCCTCAGTTGTTATATTTAGTTTTATAGTTTATGTGCCTTCACTTAAGAAATCATCAGCATACCTGAGCACAGATATTGTTACACCCAGATTCCAAACCTTTTTTGGTACATACCACTTCTCTAATGTAAAATAAAATAGAAGGTTCAAAACAAGCTTTTAAACCCAAACCAATCACAAACTTCTAAGATAAATATTTGCCAATTTTAACATTATAGAATGCTTTGGTCATGTAGATCCTTACTAGCATAACTAGCTTTGTTGGTATTCTCTGCTCAATCAAAAGATTGTAGTTTCTGATGGTCAATGGAATCATAGCTCTTTTTGAAATCTATATAAAACAGATGAACAATACCGTTGTCTGCTAATTTTTCTCTAATATTTGCCATACGGAAAATATTTGATCAACAGTTGAACAGTTCCATCTAAAACAGTCTTTATTGGAGTCTCTAATAATTTTCACAGTGTATTTCATGAATTAACCAATTAAAATCAATGTGAATACTTTATAAGATGCTGGAAGGAGTGAGATTCCTTGATAGTTACAATCCATCATTGATACCTTCTCATGAATTGGAATAAGAATAGATTCTTTCCATTCTTCAGGCATTTCTCCAGAACCTTTTAACAAAAAAATGTATTTTAAAAACTCCAACCCTGGTTTCCGTTGCTTGATAAAATTTTGATTATCTCATGGCTACATCATCTATCTTTTAAGTAAATTCCTCTTTGACAGTTCATCACTCTCTTTTTTCTTTTTTTCCTGGGAAGTTGTCAATTTAATTTAGTTGTTTGGCAATAATAACTTCCAGTTGTTAACAATTGAGTATATTTTACTATCAATGTTACATGCTAACAGGTTAGTTGACGTTTCGGGACCTTTATTCCCATCTTCAGAACTGCAATTCCAATACTCTTGTGGATGCAAGGCTAAAATTTTTTTAAGTTACAATATTGTGCTTGTTACATTACATATTTGAATTATGTTTGTTACAATAAATTTGTAATTACCTTAATTTTAATAATAATAATAATGTGCTCCATCGTCAATTTTCTAATTTATGATCTAAAATTTATCATCTAGAGCAACATCCTCCTTTTGACCAATAATTGGGTTTCTGCCATAGTGAAAAATTGACCTTTGGATCTAACTGTTTTATCTGACTATTTTGATTGTTGTTGTTAGTGTTTATTTTATGTGTCTGTGATTTCACTTCTATTAAATTTTAATTTTGTTCAATGTGTCTGTATAATGGGTTCCTAAATGTTTAGTATCTGTTTTGTAGTTGACTGTTGTTCTGTTGTTTTTTGTAATGTGTATTGCTTCAAGTAATTTCCTATTGGTGTTTTTTGGTTCTTTGCCTATTATCTGTGGTTTGTTAAAGTTAAATCTATGCTGTAGTTTTATACTGTGATGTGCTAAGGCTATTGTGTTTATGTTTTTTGGATTTTTACAGTTGGTGATGTGTTGTGAGATTCTAGTTCCTAATTGTTTGGATGTTTCACCAATGTAGATTTTGGGGCAGTTTTGACAGTTTAATTTATATATTGCATTTTTCTTGTTAATTGGTTCTATTTTATCTTATGTGTTGGTGATGTGCCTGCTTAGTTTCTTGTTATTGTATTGTCCGAGTTTAATTTCTGTCAAGTCATAATCTTTGAACACGTTTTTAATTTTATTAGTGAGTTCAGGTATGTATGTCATTTTGTAGTAGTAGTTGAAGTCCATTTTGTTTGTTTGTGCTATGTTATCCTGATTGTTTTCATTTGTTGGATTTGTTTTTTCAAAAAATTGGGTGATGAATTGTTGTGTAGATTTCCTTATTGTAATGTTTTCTTCTGGTGTTTTTTGTATTGTTTGTTTTTTGGCTCTAATTTTGTTATGGTTTAGTGTTGTATGTAATCGACTGTACCAAAGTTTGTTGATTAAGTTTATAGGGTAAAAGTTCTCGATAAGTATTTTGTATATTCCTGTTTTTACTTGTGAGATGTAAGGTTTGTCAGTGATTTCTATTGATTTGTGAATTAGGTTCTTGGCTGTGTTAATTATTTGATGTTTGGGATGGTTTGAGCTAAAGTTAAGAATTCTGTTACTGGTATTCTCTTTTTTTGTCCATTTAGTAAGTATCTGTCCTTAGTCCATATCCAAAAATCTGAGTCTATTGTTTGTGGCTTTTTCTATTGTAAATTTGATTCTTTTGTTGTACTGGTTGAAGCTTTTCATTATTTCATTTTCCGAATATTTTTTTATTATGAGTAATAAGTCATCTATGTATTTCTTAATTAACAGTGGTTTTTGTTCTAAGTTAGTTAGTTGTGTTGTGATTAGTTTGTTTAAATATATGCCACTTAAATTTCGTTGATAGAGTACTTCATCTACATTGGTGAAACATCCAAACAATTAGGAACTAGAATCTCACAACAAATCACCAACTGTAAAAATCCAAAAAACATAAACACAACAGCCTTAGCACATCACAGTATAAAACTACAGCATAGATTTAACTTTAACAAACCACAGATAATAGGCACAGAACCAAAAAACACCAATAGAAAATTACTTGAAGCAATACACATTACAAAAAACAACAGAACAACAGTCAACTACAAACAGACACTAAACATTTAGGAACCCATTATACAGACATATTGAACAAAATTAAAATTTAATAGAAGTGAAATCACAGACACATAAAATAAACACTAACAACAACAATCCAAATAGTCAGATAAAACAGTTAGATCCAAAGGTCAATTTTTCACTATGGCAGAAACCCAATTATTGGTCAAAAGGAGGATGTTGCTCTAGATGATAAATTTTAGAACATAAATTAGAAAATTGACGATGGAGCACATTATTATTATTATTAAAATTAAGGTAATTACAAATTTATTGTAACAAACATAATTCAAATATGTAATGTAACAAGCACAATATTGTAACTTAAAAAATGTTTAGCCTTGCATCCACAAGAGTATTGGAATTGCAGTTCTGAAGATGGGAATAAAGGTCCCGAAACGTAAACTAACCTGTTAACATGTAACGTTGATAGTAAAATATACTCAATTGTTAACAACTAGAAGTTATTATTGCCAAACAACTAAATTCATGACTCTCGTTTTCAGAAGGAGGAGATAGAGTATTATTTCCGGTATTCAAAATACTGTCGAAATATTTTTTAAACTTACTGAATATTTCTATCAGATTAGCCAGAATATTGTTATCTTCATCCCTTATTCCAGTTGTTACAGGTTTAAACCTGTGTACATGTCTCTAACACTATTTTCAACTCTATTAGCTTTTATTTTTGTATTTTTAAGTTACTCTCTTTTTTATTTTTGAGAAGTTTAGTAATTTCATTTTTTAAGGCTAAGAATAGTCAAGGCTGTTTTCAAGAACATTATTTACAGCTTTTAATTTAGCGGCTTATTTTTGTTCACTCATGTTTCCTTTTTCCCACAACACAAATTATTGACCTCTTTAGCATTATTCCTGATCAATACCCTTTACTTGTCTATATTACCACTGTTGTCATCAGAAAGTTTTAAAGCCACAAAATTACCCTTAACTTCTAGCATGAATTAATTTCTAAATGAAGAGATTTTTCAATTTTTCCAAATTAAAATTTTCAGTACAGAAACCGATTTATATCCTCTTATTGTTGACGTTTCACGATAACTAGTTCATGATCTGACCTACACTCAGTACTATGATAACATCTAGTTTTAAATATACTCTTTTGCCAAATGATAAGTTTGACATTAGATTTAGGAATCTGGTGAAGTTCATGTTGCATTGGCATGCCTGCTGTTTATACTGGCCCTAGAGAAAGCAGTTCGAAATTCAGGAATACAGACCTCGGGAACCGTTATTCATCAAAGCGTACAGCTATTGCCCTTGGTGGATGATGTGGACATAGTGGCGAGATCAAGGAAAGCTATGGAGGACGCCTTTCTTGCTCTTCAGTCGGCAGCGCTAAATATTGGGCTAGAAATTAATGAGACCAAGACCAAATATATGCTGGTAAACTGAGAGAATAACCTAGTGAATGCCCCAGCTCTCACAATAGGAAATTTCTCCTTTGAAAGGGTCCCAAATTTTGTGTATCTAGGAATGCTTGTTACCTCTTCAAACAACGTGCCCCTCGAAATCAGCCGGCGGATCACAGCAGCCAACCGGTGCTATTTTGGGCTATGAAGAGCCCAAATAATACAAGGCAGATGAAGAGCCACCTGATCACCAAAGAAACCAAGATACAGCTGTACAAGACACTGATAAGACCGGTTCCTACCTATGCTTTGCAAACCTGGACACTAACTAAGGCAGATGAGAAAGGTCTCCTAATTTTTGAAAGAAAAATATTGAGAAGAATATAAGGCCCTGTTAGAGAAGGTGAAGCATGGAGAAGAAGGAAGGAAACATGAACTATACAGCTTGTATGGAGACATTGATGTAGTACAGTTCATCAAGGTGGGCAGGACATGTGGCACACATGACTGAAGAGAGAATACCCAGAAAAGTTATGGAGGGGATACTGGACCAAACAAGAAGAAGAGGAAGACCCAGGTTGAGATGGATCGACGGTGTGGCCGCAGACTCGAGGACGATAATTCACCAATATAACTGGAAGGTTGCATCACTTATCAACATTACTGAGTTCATGCAAACTTTCTTTACTGAATATACTTCTTCCCTTTCCAATTCTGTATTTGCATCTTCTGAACTAAAGCAGAGACTCCAAACTTTTTGGCCCACAGGCCACATTGAGACCTCCACTAAGACCTGTGGGCTTTATTGAGACCTTGTAAATTCTGTGGGTCATGGCTTGTGATAAAAAAAAAATCTTGTTCTATAAATGACATTCAGCTGTGAAATTAGCTTTCTAAGAGAGACAACTCATGCAATAAATGTTGTGGTAACCTTGAGTTTGAGTGATAAATCTAATTAGTAAACTAAATTTCATATTTTTTAAAATTTTATAATGTAATCACAGAAACTTTCACAAGCCTTCGGAGTTTGGATACTCCTGTCCTAATGTAATACTTTGAAGAGGGAAAATCAAAGGAAGACTAACTTGACAATAACTGATAATATTTTCTCCCTATTGGTTTATTAATACTTTTTGATTTTATGTATTTCATCTCCATTGTATCTCCTGTAGGTTTTTTTATTTTTTTATTCTTAATAGTTTTTGCAACTCTGTGAATAACTGTCTTTTTTTACCTCATCAGACATTTTCAATGTTAGAAGTAAATGAAGTGGAAACTGGGATTGAACATTCACTGTATTCTTGATTTAAAGCAAGAAATGATTTATTATGATCAACTTGGTTATCTTAGTGTAATATTTAAGACAAAAGTAGCTGAAAAAAAAAAAGACGATTATTTGTTCTTTGTTAAAACAGCTACTCTAGATAATGTATATACAGTAAGGATCTTATAATTATCTTATACAGTAAGGATTCTTATAATCTTTTAATCCACAGATTTACTTTTGAACATTTTATTTTTATGGAACCCCATCCCAACTCAAACGAGTTCACGCCGTTACGTCAATAATTAGTTAAGTAACAACAGATGCTAAAAATCTCGACCAGTAGGATTTTTATTAAATGAGTTATTGGAATAAAAGTAAAAAGATGAGGGATGTAAACTAAATAAGGGGCCAGAGGACCTTCCATGTCCTTACACTTCCAGTGTTCTACAGCACTGTAGATGTTTCCAGCTCAATATACACTTTGCTACCAATTTTCATTGTTTATTAAACAATAAATAATAACTGCAAAGTTGATAATTACATAAACTATAGTAAAGAAAAGAACTTAAAAACTATATTTTAATACAAACATAAAATATTTATGTATTTTATATCGATACTGAAGTGAAACTTCACTGAGAGATTAAGTTTTTTTTTTTATAAGCAAAAATATTTGTATATTGTTTCTATTCACTTGATATATTCTTATTCCATACAAATAATACATGATTTTCATATGTAATTTTATTTAGTACAAAATGAAACTTACATCAAAGAAAGACTTGTCATCGGTCTTCTTAGGAGGACCAGGTATAGGAGGGACTTGTGTAACTGACATTACTTCAGCAAGATCTAAAAAACAAGGTACTGTCACTATTCAGTATCATAAGGGCATACTTATGCATAAAATTATGAACTGAAAACAGAAGTAATATAGGATAATGTGACAAATATAGTTCATATTAAAATAAATAAATCACTTAAACTATTCACAGCCATTGTTTTATTTTAATTAATTAACTATAACAGTTAAAACAATTAATTGGTGTTTAGTGAAAAATATTAAGTAACAATTTTTACAAATAAAAAAGTTTTAGTATCTTTTTGACCAAAATATTGATTTTTTTTTCCATTGGTACAAACAAGCATAGAAGCATAAACATTCTTATATGATTCTACAGTGGTGTGAAAAAGTCCCTAAACAAGACAAATTTTTATAAAAATGATCATTTTTCCAATTAAAAAGTTATTTTATCTTCTTAATTGTAAACTGATTTAACCTTTCAGGCATTATATATGTAATAGATATTAAAATTAGCATTATTTTCAATTAATAACAACCAAGAGATCAAGAGAGATATGTTGAAGTTATTTTATGGGGCTGAATATTGTTATGCTACCTTATTGTTTAAATTTCACTACTTTGCTATCCACTTTAGTCTTTATTCTTTATTGTTAACATCAAGAGCTTTTCTATAAACTCTAGGAAGCTGAATGTATCTGTAAAAATTGTTCTAATATTTGAATTATCCATTTTTTGGGTGAAATTTAATTTAACATTCCATATTTCATTTATTTTCTATTTAATATTACTTTTATTTTTTTTAAAAATTGCAAAATATCCACATAGTTTATCGTTATCTTGAAAAAAAAAAAGTTCTGCGCAATCAGCTTAATCCCAGATGGAATATAAGAATACTATGGTACCGTTTTGCATACAGTTTTCCACCTATTCACAAGCAGTCTCCAACTCTTTTCTCGTTGTTGAAATAAATTATTCTGTTATAAAGGAGTGAATATTCCTTTTATTTAGTTGTCATTTGTGCCTCACAATTGAAGAACAACAAACCAGGTGAGTCAATTCATTCAAAGTGTATTTGCTCAGTCCAATATTTCATATATATAGCATTTCCAAGTCAATTTCAAGTTGTTGTAAATCAAATCAACCTTTTCCAAGTCAAATTCAACCTTTTCCATTTCAAATTCAACTTTTGAATTTTTTTCAAAATAAAGGCCACTTACTATAGTTTCAAAGGCATAGCTTTAGAAAAAAAAACAACGTGATAACGCCGTTGCATATCCATTAATTTTCACATTTTAGATTTTTTCGGAATAATATTTCCATGTCATATTCAGTTTTATCGAAGTCAAATTCAACTTTTTCCAAGTCAAATTCAACTTTTTCCAAGTCAAATTCAACTTTTTCCAAGTCAAATTCAACCTTTTCCAAATCAAATTAAACTTTTTCCTAGTCAAATTCAATCTTCTCCATTTCAAATTCAACCTTTTCCAAATCAAATTAAACTTTTTTCAAGTCAAATTCAACCTTTTCCAATTCAAATTAAAGTTTCAATCAATTCAAATTAAAGTTTCGATTTTTTTCAAAATAAGTGCCATTTTCCAATATGAGGGTCTATTATTATGCTTCCCTAAGTAGAGTTTTTCAAAATACTATCGAATTTATGTTAAACGTTCGAATATCGATTTATTGTACCTATTCAAATTTATTCGATATAAGGGTCTAGTATTATGTTAACATGTGCCTAATTTTTGAAAATAATCTCCACTTTAAGATTACGCCACTGCGTTTCCACTTATTTAAGTTTTATCGGATCTTTCCATACAAGGGTGTATTCCTATGTTTGCAGAGCAGTAGATTTTGAAAATGACCTCCATTTTAAGATTACACCACTTTATTTTGACTTACTCAATTTTTTCTTATTTTATTCAATGTAAAGATCTACTTATATGTTATCGGAGACATTGTTTTTGAAAATGACCTTCATTTCAAGATTATGCCATTGGGTTTTGGTATATTTAAGTTTTTTGGACTTATTCGGTATAAGGATCTACTTATATGTTATCGGAGATGTCGTATTTGAAATTTATCTAATCTCTAATATTCAATTAAATTTATCAAATATTTAATCTCCATTTCAAGATTACGCCGGTGCATCTCGATTAATTAAGTTTTTTTTTTAATTGTTTCAATACTAAGTTTCATCAATATGTTTTCGAGAATAAATAAATATTATGAAACTAAGGTTAAATTAACCTACTTTTTACAATTACAACCTTATATCGAATAAATACGAAAAACTTAAATAACTCAAAACGCAGTGGCGTTATCATAAAATGGAGGTATTTTCAAAACCTACGGCTCCGGAAACATAAGAATACAACCTTGTTTAGAATAAATTCGAAAAAATTTAAATAAGTCGAAACGCAGCGGCGTAATCTTAAAATGGAGGTAATTTTAAAAAACCACACATACGATAACTGACCCATACATCGAAAAATTAAATAAATAAAAACAGGCTGTATTTGAAATAGGAAAGGTTTAATTTAAAATGGAAAAGGTTCACCTAACTAGAAACAGCAGCAGTGAAGATAGGATTGAGTTTACAAAGATGAGAGCAAGTATATGTCAAATGAAAACTGTCAAACAAGTTCAATCATCCATGATGGCCAATAAAACTTGTATTTATCAAGAGTATTGTAGGTGATTGGAAGCACAGTTTTTAAGACAAAATTTAGAAAAGTATTTAGTAGAATAGTTTATTTTATTTGTCCACAGAAATTCCTGTACAAATAAATATAAAGGTATTATTAACAATGTTAGATCTTGAGTTAGGTACTGTGTTCAAACATAACATTAACAACGTCCACAGCATTAAGTATGACTCATAACAGATTAGTAAACTATATATAATTAGTAACACTATTTTTTTTTCAATAATAAGTTTTTCCAGAGGTATCAAACAAATAACAATATAAATATGCATTAATATCTGTTTATATGATTAACCATACCACTTAACAGTTCAATGAACAGCCTTGTATGAAATAATACAGTTGATTTAAATTTTTTCATATAGTATCTATTTTCACTATATCCTCTACATTAATATCTTCCCTGGATTTAGTAATAAATGTTTTCAAGTACTTATTTCTTGGTTCCTTAAATATGATGTATTGAATCAAAAAATGAGTCGATGGATCAGTTACAAGGTAGTTGCATGCATTACATGTTTCACTAGATTAAATAGTGAAAGTAGCATCTTTTAAATATATTTTTACAAAATCTTTATTTACTACTCTGAGGCGACTAATGGCTCTTAATTTGTTCAAATTTAGAGTCTTGAACAGCAGAAAGTCCTCTGGTTCGGTAGTATTAAAGGAACAGATTTTTCTGTATCTTGAGTTTAACACCCATTAAGCTCAGCTTTGTCCAATAGTTGATCACCTTTTTTAAGACATTCAACGCTTAATGGAGATCTTCCAGTTTCAAGGCGAGCAACATAGTTAGGTGTATTTCTTGGCCAATGGATCCATGACTTGATAAATCGAATTTAGTTCTCTCCAAAACCTCCAAGTATTTTGGGCCCCAGATCTCTGCAGCATAGAGCAGTGTAGACGAGACTATCGATTCAAAGAGGCTCGTTTTGGTCTCACAAGAGTGATTTTTTCCATTTCTTAGGATTGAAATTACTTTGGTCACTGCAACAGATGACCTTTGTAATAAATGTTCAGCAGATCTCTCAAATTTCCAGAAGAAGAAAGGGTACAACCAGATATGTGTAGCTCCTGGTATACTCCAAACTTGTGTTTTGCCAAACAAAAGTCTTATGTTTCTTCATCTTTGGAGATTTGTGGAACACCAACACCTTAGACTTAGCTGGATCTATGGTTAAAGATTTGTTTTTACAGCATCATGCCACAAATTACTGATTAGTACAATATCATCTACTAACAGTAGCATAACTACCTCATGGTCATGGTATATATTAATATCAACAGCTCCTTGGTCACGAAACTACTCTACTATATCTGACACAAACAGGATAAACAATGCAGGACTAGGACTCTCCCCTTGAAGCAGGACAAGGCTGACACCAATCTCTTCTCATGTTTTAACTTTATCCACCTCGATGAAGCATCATAGAGAGAGTTTTTTGAGAATTCTAACTAGTTTTCCTCCCATTCCAAGAGAAAAAAGCCTTTCCCACAGCAAGTTTTGGTTAGATAAATTCGAAGGCCTTCTTCCGATCCACAAACACTGAATAAACATAGCTGCCCTTTGACCTCAAATTATTATTGACAACTGATATCAATGTGAATATGTGATCGATGCATCCCCTGCCAATCCTAAAACCAGCCTGTCCCTCCGGTATTCATTTTTCTGATTCTGCCCATTTCATGATTCTGTTCCTCAGAATGCTAGTGAATAATGTTGCTAGAGCATTAAGCAAGGATATGCCTCTGTAGTTATTTGGATCCTTTTTATCACCTTTCTTATACAGAAGATGCAAGTTAGCTTTTTCCCACATTCCTGAAATTTGTTCAGAATTTAATATCTTATTAAATGAATTTAATATGTAATGCTCCCAAGAGAGGTTGAGACATTTAACAACTATAATAATAATAATAAAAAGGCTTAGCGAACCCGAAGGTTCGATGCCGACACCACCAATCGCTTGTTACACACCTCCCTCCACCGTTCGCCGTCCAAACCCAATCCCTTCAGATCGGCTTTAATGCAATCTTCCCACCTTCGCTTCGGTCTACCCCTCGGACGCTTACCATTCGGCACAGCAAATATTAACCTTTTAGGAATTCTCTCGTTACTAAGCCCAACAACTTTACAAGCCCATTTGATTCGCCGCGATGAAATTACCTCAATTATATTACCCGGTTGCAGCTCACGCAATTCGGCGTTGTGTAACCGTATAAACTGATATTAACAACTATATAAGTTATATTATCAGGCCCTGGAGATTTCTTTTTTTTACTGGTACCAATGCTGTGTTGTAGTTCTTACAATGATATATAATGTACAATTCTTACAATTGATATTGAGGAGTGGATGAGTTATGGAGAAAAAGTATGTTTCATATAGAGTTTTAGATTTCATATACAGATTCGTGTAATAGCGAAACCAATCAGTCAAACTAATTTCGTTATTTTGGTTGTGAAAAGGTCTCAACACATTCACCGTCTTCCAACACTGTCCACTATTTTTTACATTTCTCAAATTTGTAATTACTGATGCTCTAAATTCCATTTTTTTCCTTTTTATTAGTTTCCTATATTCATCTCAGGCTTGAAGGTAGTCTCTGATAAATCCTGCCAGTTAGCTGTTCTTCTGCATAATTCTTTGCAACTTCTCATGATTTCATTTACTTCTCCTGCATTCCTGATCAAACCATTGGTGCTTAGGTTGCGGAGTGGTATTCGCGGTCATCCTCTCAGTAAACATTAAAAAACAACCTGATTCCAAAAAGTTCTCTTGCATTGCCTGTTTGAAGTTATCATACAGCTGGTTTACATCTTCAGAATAGAAATAAATTCTTTCAGAGTTGGAAATATTTTTACAAAATAAATTAATTTTGTCTTCATCCCACGATGAATTGTTAGTGACTAAGCATTCTATTGAAGAAGTTATTCTATTCATAGGAGGATTTTGTGCTCTATCCAATAGTGGTTATTTCCAAGATAGTGACATCGTGAGCTATGCTGTTATGAATCAGTATTGTTAATCCCCCACTTCCTCTACCTGTTGTATGTGTTTTTATGGCATGAGTTCCATTTTCGGACTTATTAAATTTTTGTTGCCATTAATGTTACAGAATAATATTTTTGATACTTCGTATAGATTGTTTGTAGTTAAATTCGTCGGCCTTTTAGTTTTAACATTTATTATTTGAGATGGCAACGAATTATTATAAACAAAAGATTAAATGGAGGTGTGATCCATAAAAGTATTTAGTACTCAACTTTAATAAAATTATATTAATATTTAATTTATAAAATAATTGATTATTTGTAAATGTGCTTTCAAAATTATTTTATTATAGGTAGCTTAATAAATTTTCAAAACTAAAGTTTTACTTAATTTATGATTTTCTTCTTTTTCTTTTCTTCTAGAACTAATCATACTGATGATGTATTCTTTTATCAATTATATTTAAAAGTGATAGAAATTTAAATAGTACATTTTGTTACATATTTCCTAGTTTTTGCTTGCATATGATAAAGGCATATCTGAGAAGTTTCACCCATAAAAATGGTGAAATTTCAAGTATATTACAAACCTATAAATCCTTTGCAATGAGAATCTTCCACAGCATCATAATAACGTAATTGATGTTTGATTGAATCAAGAACAAACCACCGTTGTTTCCAACCCTTCAACAATGCTCCTCTCTTATATAAGTATCCTTCATGTGTTCTATTTTCGGCAACATTTGATGAAAACTGATCGTAGTACTGTTGATTTGTGGTTTGAATAGCTGTAACACCTGGAAATTATTGAGAATATTGAAACAAAATTAAAACTGATATAATTTTCCGCCCATTCACAAAATAATACTAGTAATATCGTATTGAGTATATTGATTCTTAAATTTAATTCACATTATAATAAAAAAAATGATGAAATCATAATGATTTTCATAGATACTGTGAAAGAAACAAAATAACACTGAGTGTACTTTAAACACTTACAAAAGAAATTGTACTAGTGCAACCCATGGAGGGCATTTTATAGAGGTTGGATGTACCCCAGGGTCGATCCATGGCTACCAGAATAAATAATAATAAGAGACCGGATTTCCATGTTATTTCACATTTTATTTTCTTATGTGTAACAACTTCAAACCCGATTATCTATTGGTTTCACGATCTGTAAAATAACATATTGAAATTGGTATTGCATGAAATTGCATGTTTTGCTGTTTTTGGCCTATATAGCATGATTTTAATTTTTGTTGCATCAAAGTGCACATTTTTCCACTTTTTGTGCTAGATTAAATGATTTATAAATATGAATATAGAGGTGTATGTGTAAATATTAAGATTTTATTTAAATATTTTGTCTCTATTAAATTTATAATTCATGATAGAAAACTAAGAGGAAGATAAATAATTCTGTAACTAGCAACAGTGTGAATTTTATAGTATAAGACGAAGAAGTAAACACAAGTTGAGAATGAAATTTTCCTATAATATTGGATAACAATAAAAAACTCTCTTCCTAGAATAAACTGATTTGTAAGAAAGACATTTATTGTCATTGTTTTGAGCTGAATCCTCCAGCTCTTCCGTATCTCTTCTGGCTTTGAAGTGAATTGTAGTGATATCATTATTATTTTTTTAAAAAGTTGAATAATGAAGAGAGTAGGATCTATTCTCACATCAAACATTAAAATCTGGATATCAAATTAACCCAACTTGAAATTTTATGGGAAAGTTTTCTTCTGTAATCTGTGTAAAATCTATTGGGTATGATAGAAAATCACAGATAGATGCTCATTGAAGAGCAGGTAAGAAAGAAATATTTCCACTAAAGAATTTAAAGATTTTTTTTTAGCCACGGATTGCAAAAGTTTTTTAAAGATTCTTAGGAATTTCATTTTCAATGTGGCATTTTAATGTTAAATTTTTTTTTTTTTTCGTTACACATTATTTTAATCCAGAAATTTTGATCAGATTTTGATGTATGAATACAATAAATTAAACAAAATTGGTGGTTTTTCCGTGTTTTTAGGTGCTAATTACGTCATTTTTCTTATTTTGGGTTTTTACTGCACGATTTTGCACATTTTGTTGTATGTTATGCAAATTTTTACTGCACGAAGATCCGGTCTCTAATAATAACCAACCACAGCTGGATTCTAACCTGGAACCTGGAGCATAGGAGCACAGTGCCCTCCCTACTACAATCACTTTTAATTTTATAAGAAAAAATAGCAACACCATAAAAGTATGATCATAAACTTCAATCATCGATTTACATGTATCATATTTTAATATAATTTTAATTAATTACTTAAATATTAAAATTTTTTTAACCTTTCGCCATCAAATCATTCAGTATAAAAATTTCATCAAAGCTAAAAAAGTGAATACATACTTGAGTTAACTGAAGCAGTGTCTCCACCACTTCTGCTTAATGTTTGGTTGGTATGAGTTCCATCTGAGACAGATTTGTATTTAGTGCATGTCTTAGGAACATTATCACAACATTTTTCATGGCAGCTGTAACCACAGTCAATGCAACGAAGACCAGTCTAACATTTATAAATAATTAAAATCAAACATTGAAGAATAATATATCATTAATTATTGCATAAAATAACTTACCTTTACAGGACCCCATAAAACATTAGTACAAAAATCACAGTAGGTTGGAGTTGTAAAGTTATGTTTTTCGAATCTATGGGGATGAGAATAAATAGGTGGAATTGATGGCTGAGTATCAACCATTTTTCCTCTCATTAATATTTCTAAAGTTGATCTTTTATGCAGCAAACGTCCATGAGATCGTACAAGTGCAGTACTCAATGATGCGTGTCTCTAAAAAGAAAAAGAAAAGAAAATTGATGAGATTCTTTTAATATAGCATTTCCAAGTCAATTTCAACCTTTTCCAAGTTAAATTAACCACAGAATAAAAACTAAAAAGCCGAAAAGCAACTGGTAATAAATTTAACCTACCATATTCAGATTTTTCAGCTTATTATTCGAAATCTTATAATTTTGTTACAGGAGACCACAACATTAAAAAAAATAACTAAAATTAAATTAAAAATGAGACAATACATATTTTATTTATTTCGACTAGATATTTTTATTTATTTATTGAAAAAAAAAAATTAATCCTTCGTATTTTGTTTTTTATTCGAAAGAAAAATCAAAAACATTTTAAAAAACCGAAACACAGCGGCCTAATCTCAAAATGTAAGTCGTTTTAAAAACTAAGGCTCCGGCATCATAAAAGTAGACCTTTAAATTGGATACATTTGAAAAACTTGAATAAGTCGAAACGCAGTGGCGTAATCTTAAAATGAAGGTCATTTTCAAAATCTACTACTCCGGAAACATAAGAATACACTCTTTTATGATAAAAATTTGAAACACTTAAAGAAATCGAAACGTGGTGGCCTAATCTTAAATTGGAGGTCGTTTTCAGAATCTACGGCTCCGGAAATATAAGAATACACCCACATATGAAAAAAATCCAAAAAACTCAAATAAGTCGAAACGCGGTGGCCTAATCTTAAAATGGAGGTCGTTTTCAAAACCTACGGCTCCGGAAACATAAAAGTAGACCTTAATATTGGATAAATTCTAAAAACTTAAATATGTCAAAACACAGTGGCGTAAACATAAAATGGATGTCATTTTCAAAATTTATGGATCAGGAAACATAAAAATACACCCTTGTATCGAATAAATCAAAAAAACTTAAATAAGTCAAAACACAGTGGCGCAATCTTAAAATGGAGGTTATTTTAAAAACTAGGTACAGGACAGCATAATACTAGTCCCTAATAAATACGAATAGGTACAGTAAATCGATATCCGTAAGTGAAAATTCTACTTAGGAGAGCATAATAATAGACTTTCATATTGGAGGGGGGGGAGGGGATGGCCACTATTTAAAAAAAAATATAAAATTTACAAAAAATTAAAACATTAATTTGAAATGAAAACGGTTGAATTTGACTTGGAAAAGGTTTAATTTGAAATGGAAACGGTTGAATTTGACTTGGAAAAAGTTTAATTTGATCTGGAAAAGGTTGAATTTGACTTGGAAAAGGTTGAATTTGACTTGGAAATAATTGAATATGACATAGAAATATTACACTGAAAAAATCTAAAATGTTAAAATAAATGGATATGCAACTGCGTTTTCAAAATATTTTTTTATATTTTTCAAAAGCTATGCCTTCGATAATATAGTAAGTGGCCTTCGTTTCGAAAAAAATCGAAAGTTGAATTTGAAATGGAAAAGGTTGAATTTGACTTGGAAATGCTATATAAATTGATAATAATCAGAACAATAAGCTGATACTATTTGTGTGAAAATATTTCCAAATTTCCTCGTTACGGTGAGTGGTGGGGGCAGATCAGAAGATCTAAAAGATAACTTTTTAACCCATACAAGCACCAATTCACACAACCCATTCCAGCACTGTGAGCCAGAGACAACAAATGCTGCAAGGGGGCCCTCACGTAACTAAGAGATGTTTTAAGACGACATAAAAATGTTAAGCTGTTGTTGCACAATTCATAAAACCTACCAATCCATTAAAATACAGTCCACTGCATAAATAAGTAGAATGTTGCCCATAAAAGGTCGTCTATTTTTGGGCTGATTTTCGTATTTCTCCTATTAATTAGTTTTTTTTTTTTTTTAATATAACTTATGTTGTTTATTGCTTTGTTGTGTATTTGGGGGCGCCAGAAATTTAAGTTAGAATGCCCAGTCTGTAAATCGAGCCATAAAATTATAAATTGCCCTCAGTTTCTAGATGCTGATGTTAATGGTCGTTATGACTTGCTAAAGAAGTCTGATTTATGCTTTTCTTGTACAAGACCTGATCGCTTTCCGAAATGCCAAAGTAAAGGTTGTTGCCAAGTTTGTGATAAAAAGAGTCACCATACTATGTTACATAAGGCTGCAAACAAGCCCTCTCAATCTTAAGTAACAAACAATTCTCGTGCAATTTCGTGCCATGCTATCACCAACTCACAGGTTCTTCTGGGTACTGCCTTAGGTAGAATTTGTTTAAGTTCAGGTCTGTGGTATTCATCCAGAATGGTGATAGATTCAGGTTCACAAATTAATTTAATTACCATTAATCTAATAAAAAAGTTGCGCCTTCGTTCCTGGGTTAGTCCTCTTGTGGTGTCTGGAGTAGGTAATATCTCCATATCTTCATCTTCTGCTAAGATTAAAGTGAAGTTGGATTCAACAAGAAATAGCAATATATATGAGTTTTCAGCCAGAGTATTGCCCAGCATAAGGGGAAGTTTGCCTTCGTTTGCCATTTCCCAAGAAGTAGGGGAATAAATTTGCTTTAATAGAACTTGCAGACCTTCAATTTCATACGCCAGGAAAAGTTGATCTGCTTCTGAGCGCTGAGATGTAAGTGAGGTTTTAAGTGACCCTATTTTATTTCTTAAGGGGCAACCGAAAGCTGTTCATACCTCATTAGGATCGGTATTATTTGGGAACACCCTCTCAGAATGCCAAAGCCCTATACCTTCAGTACGTACTCTTTTCACGTAGACCAGCCCTTCCCTACAGGAGGAATTAAAGCAATTTTGGGAGACTGAGGAAGTAACAGTTTCGATTCCGCCGAATTCTGAAGATGCATTTTGCGAAGATCACTTTATAAATACACACACTCGTGATCTCCAGGGTAGACTTATTAGCCTTCCACTTGATTCCACTAGAGAGATAGCTCTACGCAGATTTAGAAATCTGAAAAATAGATTTAGGAGAGATACAGAGTATAAGTCTGCCTATGCTGCACAGATGGACGAATATGTAAGACTGGATCATGTCCGCCTTGCCAAGAAATCTTCTCCATACTTCATGACCCATCATGGATTCATTAAAGATTCTTCCACGACAAAACTTAGAGTCGTATTTAACGATTCGGAGAAGATATTGGAAGGGACCTCACTCAATGATATGCTTTTGACTGGTCCGTAGCTACAGACTGATATTGCGAACCTTATAGATCGTTTTAAATGCTTTCCTGTGGCCTTAACATGTGATATAAGAATGATGTTTAGGTGTATCTGCATTGCCGAAACTAATCAGAACTTTTGCATTTTTTTTGTTGGAGAAGTGAATCTTCACAGCCGATCCAGGAGTATGAGTTGGTTACCTTACCATTTGGATTGAAATGTTATCCCTTTATTGCTCAGAGAGTCATTCTAAAGTTATTTCGGGAAGAAGGCCATAATTTTCCTAGAAATACCCAGTGTCATGACCAGATTTATGTAGGCAACGTAATCACTAGTGCTCGTAATAGTAATGAGGCTCTGGATCTGTATAATGAGTTGATGGCCTTATTTGAAGCAGGTGGGGTTGAACTCAGAAAGTTCTCCAGCAATTCCCAAAAAGTACTTTCTGTTATATGCAAGGGTAGTCAAGAAATACTGTTGTGCCTGAGTGAAGATTCCTCGACTGTCAAGGTTTTGGGATCCTAAACTTGATCATTTCAGGTATTCCATACAGGAAAGTGAGCCTATTTTTACAAAGTGAGGTATTCTATCCTTCATTGCCAAAATTTTCGATATAAATGGATATATCAGTCCGGTAATTTTTTCCGTTAAATGAATATTACAATGTTTGTGGCTACTTAAGGTTGATTGAGATGATGAGTTGCCCTCTAGTGTCGTCATTGTGGAAGATTTTCCTTGAAAAATTTCCGAGCTTGAAAAATGTTTGCCTGCCTCATTGTATTATCAGCCAGAATGCATCATCCATGCAACTAATCGCCTTTTCAGGCACTTCTGAGAGGGGTTACGGGTGTGTGATCTACCTGAGAGTTGGGTATCCATGAGAAGCTACCAAAATTCATTTGCTAAGAGCAAAAAGTAAGGTGGTCCCACTTAAGGTTCAATCAGTGCCTCGTTTGGAATTTTAAACACTGCTCTTGTTGCGTGTATTGGTAAACTTAAAAGTCATTTGAAAATTGAGGAAGTGTATTGTTTTTCGGATTCTCGTAACGTACTCTATTGGTTACATACACCGCTACATGAATTTAAGATTTATGTTGCCAATCGTGTAGTACAGATTTTGGAAGTAACAGAACCCAGTTGTTGGCACTATATTCCTACAAAACAGAATCCAGCCGATTGTTTATCGAGAGGCCTCACGCCACACCAGATACTTTCCCATGAGCTTTATTGGAATGGCCCAACATTTATTTCGTTACTTCCTTCTGACTGGCCTATTTACCATGTTGAACCTCTATCCGTTTTACTTAAAGTAAAAACAATAACTTTTAGCGGCTGAAAAACCTAACGATTTGTTGATTGGCCAGGAAAAATATTCGAGTAATTTAAAGCTGCAAAGGGTTTTTGCTTTCATTTTAAAATTTATTAAATGTTGTAGAGATTGGGAGCAAGATGTTTCTGCTGCTGGAAACCTTGGCTGCTGAAGATCTTAAGGATTCCATAATTTATGTCAGACTCATTCAGAGGAAATTCTTCACAGAATTAATTGATTGTCTTGAAGGTGGCAACCCCTATAAGGGTTCCTTAAAGAGGCTCACACCATTTGGATATGGACGAAGCTTTCAGGGTGGGAAGTAGATTGAAATATTCCACAGTCAAAGAAAAAAGTAAGCACCCACTGCTGATACCTAAAGATTCTCATTCAGCAGTCCTTTTGTGTGACTATTATCACAGGTATTCCTTGCATGGTGGGTCCCTGTTGGTCCAGTCGCTCATTCATCACCAATTTTGGATTCCTTCTCTAAGAAGACTCGTTAGAAGCCGGATTTATAAATGTGTTACATGCCACAAAAATAATGCGAAACCACAGGCTCCAAAAATGAGTGACTTACCGTCTTTCAGGATGACCGAGGGTCGTTCCTATCAGTGAGTTGGAATAGACTATGGTGGCCCCTTCATTATGAAGATTTCCAGTTAGCGCAATACTCCTAAATCGAAATATTGGTTAGCTCTCTTTGTGTGCATGCCCACCAAGGCCATCCATCTAGAACTTGTGATGGACCTATCCACTCCTTCATTTATTGCCACATTACATAGATTTATTGCCAGACATGGTTTGCCTTCTCATATTTATAGTAAGTGCGGAACAAATTTCTTTGGAGCATCCAAGAAGTTGAAGAAGCTTTATCAATTTGTTAAGGGCCGGAGCGAACTCATTTTGACCATTTGGGTCGGACGGGTATAAAGTGGACCTTTACTCCTCCCACATCTCCACATTTTGGTGGTATTTGGGAGGCAGCTATTAAATCCGCTAAGAGAAACTTTCTTGCTGTTCTCCAGAATCATGCATTGACATATAAGGAATTTTATACTCTTCTGGTACGAGTTGAAGCCGTTCTCAATTCCCATCCTATTTGTAATATTAGCAGTGAACCTTCGGATAACCTGGATTACTTCATCCCAGGACACTTTCTTATAGGTCAACCCCTCCTGGCCAGAACAGAACAAGAAGACGCACCTGTGTTTCCTTTGACAAGTCGTTGGGAGATGATTTCCAAGACTCTCCATAATTTTTGAAAGAGATGTATACTGACAGAGAAAATTTGAAGGAGGGAACCCATGTAATTCTACATGAAAAAGATGTTCCACTGCAGGAGTGGCGGCTTGCCAGGATAATAGAGACACTTCCTGACCATGTAGCTAGGGTGGTAAAATTGAGGACTGCTACAGTCACTTTGATGCAACCGGTGCACAAGTTAGTGCATCTCCTTTCTGGAGAAACCTTTTATTGATATGAATATTTTTTTTTGTTTAAATTTAATGAGGAGTCATTTTATTTTAAATTAATTGTAATTTCAGCGAATTCTTCTAGTATCCAATCCTTACAATCCAAAATCCTCAACGCTCCTTACTTTGTCACAAATAAAATCATCCATAAAGACCTTAATGTTCCATATGTTTCCAATTTGGCCCAATTCAGATAGCTATCCTTCCATAACAAACTTCAGAACCACCCGAACCCTCTCGTTTCAAACCTTGCTTCCTCCTCGAACCCTGATAACGCTCCGAGTCGTCTGAAAAGAAGGTGGCCTCGTGATCTTCTTGTGTAAAATTATTATTTGAGTGCTATCAGTGGGTAGTTTCTCAACAAGCGATTTCATGTTATTATATTTCAGAGTGCACATTTACTAGTTGTATTTTTTTTTATAATACAGTTGTAAATATCAATGAATTAAAAAAATAAAAAAATAATTTATTAGCCTACCTTGATCTGGCTCACTTTATTTCTAATTTTCCAAAAATTTATTTTGAATAATTTTTCTCTTTCTTTATTGTAAAACAAACAATTTTCCTCTCGTTTGTGCCTTGCCTGGTAATCACCAATCTCTGAGTTTGTTTTTTTCTTTTTTTGTTTGTGAAATGAGATATTTCACAGTGGAGGATATGTTTGTGCGAAAATAGTGCCAAATTTCCTCGTTATGGCTAGTGACAGGGGCAGATCAAAAGATCTAAAAGATAACTTTTAATCCATACGAGCGCTGGTTCACTCAATCCATTCCAGCACTGAGAGCAAGAGATAACAGATGCTCCAAGGGTGCCCTCAGGTAACAAATAGATGTTTTAAGCCAGCATAAAAATGGTAAGCTGTTTTTGCACAATTCGTATAACCTACCAATCCATTAAAATCCATTATAATACCTACCAATCCACTGCATAAATAAGTAAGTAGAATGATGCCCATAATTTGAATGTTGCCTATTGTGAACTCATGAGAGTTATTTGCCTTGCCTTAATGTAAAAATTTGAAAAGTTGCCTTAACAGATACAATACCAACTTCTTTTTAGCAACATAAACACATTGTGGATGGTACATGTCAAATGTTTTTTGCAAACTGTCAGTAGAGAGTACATAGTACATATTTTTTGTTTCTTTATCTCATACATAGTAGTATGAAGTAAAAACATACACAAAACAACAGATTACATAGTTGGTGAAATCAAAATAATAATGGTAAATTTTATTAAATTCCCATGACCACATATTGTACATATTTCAAATTAATTAAATGGAAGAAAACTTACTGTAAGAGAGTCAGTGGTCGGTAGCTCTAATTTATCCCAAAGAATTTTCCATTTTTGAGGCAAGTGTCCTAATTCAGTTTCAAGGTTATGTATTTCTTCTAAAAGATGTGTAAATGCATCAGGAATGCAATGCCTTACATTATCATAGCTAAAACATAAATAATTAAACATAACTTATTTCAGATTGCCTTACATAAAAATAATTTTATTTTCTCACAAATTTGGCAAAAGATAACCTGAATATTTATGAACCAAAAAAAAAAAAAAAAAAAAATGCTACTAACCACAACAAAAACTGTTTTTAACAATGCACTCATTAATGCTGCTATCACCACAGACTTGATTTATGTTTCAGGCCGTCGGGGCCACATTCCGGCTGAGTTTAAACTTGTAAAACAAAATTACACGAAAATCACACGTTGACATCTTAGTAAATACTGAATTATTTCTAAGCAGCAAAAAGCAACAGGGGTAAACAAATATTATCGTTTGGAAGAGAATTAATAAGTGTTGACATTCATACAAATGAATAATCCAGTAAACGTAAACAGGTTGTTATATAGAGGGTAGATGTTATATAGATAACAATAATTAATGTACCTATGCCAATTATCAGATTCTATATCATTCATAGTCCATGAACCAGTTAAGCTCTCAGTGTCCACATAAACTACTATAATATAAAATCTTAGAATTTTTAATCATTATTTTTATTTAGTTTCAAAATATTAAAACAATATTTACAATATTAAAAAATATTAACAATATGGGATGTCCCATATAGGTGGGTCACAATGGAAATATCTTGGAAATTATTAGAGAAATTGTAAAATTGCAAAGGACCAAAGTTATAGCTCTCATCGAGATCTTTCAAATGCGTAATTTATTAATCCTAAAACATCTAGTTTTAATACATTTTTGAAAACTTCTAATAAATAAAGGAATATTGTATTTTAGTTTTTCCTAGAATTTTATCATAAAACAGCAGTCAAAATCTCAAATATTTTCAATGCCACAACAGGAAAATTAATATCTACAAATCTAAAACATGATTTATTTTTTTAATTTCATTTTCCACAGATTTAATTAAAAATAATTCCCAAGTGATCAGAGCACTCCAGCAAATACTTCCAGCAACAATCTTCAGAAATTTTGGCAATAAATAAAGAATTTTTAATGTAAACATTCAGATTTTTTTATTACTTTGTTGTTTCATTTTTATTAGTAAAAATCAAGAAAACAATTTCCATTATTTTCATGTGTAATCATTTCAACAAGAATTAAACTTGAAGAAATTTTAATTATGATGTATTTGGTTTCTAATAAAGGTAATGCAAGGATGACTTAAAAGTGCAAGAGACACGAAAAAAAGTTCCTTTATTATTGTCTACTTCTAAGTAGATATTACTTACTTAATATCTACTAAGTAGATATTAATTACTTATATTGTCTACTTCTAAGTAGATAATATGTAATTTTAAATATATATATATATATATATATATATATATATATATATATATATATATATATATATATATATATATATATATATTTCATAATATGTTTTATTATATAACATGTTCAAATGCTCCACCATTGTTTATGAGTAGAGACCATGTTATTCCATGTTATTGCACATTTTATTCACTGGTGTGTAAAAACTCCAAACCCGAATATCTATCGTTTTCAGGATCTATATAATATATTTAAATTTTATATTGCATGCATGTTTTGGGCTTAAATTGCATGATTTTGATTTTCGTTGCATTAAATTGCACATTTTTGTGCTTAATTAGATTATTTATAAATACAAATGTATGTATGTGGATTAATATTTACCTCTTTATTTTGGCATATTTTCCAAATTAAATTTATAAATAAAAATAATATAAGGAAGGTAAGGTAAATAATTCTATGACTAACAAAGTTCAAATTAAATATTAAAAATGTTCACAATCGCAATACTTTACTAACCTTATACAGGGTGCCCCGTAAGTAGAGGGAAATTTTGATAGGAGTTACCTCAAGACTTACAAAAAAGTTCATACGAAGAATGGGCCAATTTTCACCAGAAAAGTAGGAAATCCAAGTTTTATGTTTTTTTAGTCATGTGCTTTGTTCAATAGAAAGCCATAACTAAAGAAATATTTAATTTAAGTGATTAACAATTACTTTACTGTAATTGCTTTACTAGACAAAATTTACTTTAATTGAAATGAGAATTTGTCATTATTAAAACCATTTAAAAAGGACATTTTAGTGATTAAACTAAGCTAAGTTCTGTTTCTAAAAAAATCATTTTTTTTTTTATCATCATCCAAATATACTACAGTTATCCCACTTTTAGAAAAACTAACTTGTTTAATAAGGTTTAAGTTTATATTAATTAAATTGAGGTTTATTGTGAAGTAAAGAAATGATGTGATTTTCTATACAGTCTCTAAAAGTACCCGTGTTTTCAGCAAAATTTACTACAATTAACTGTTGCAAAGCTTTTTTTTCTTTTTTTATTATGATCTAGGATGTATTATAATAGAAAAAGTTACCTAAATACACGTTTTATTTATTCCAAGATATTCCAAATTTTAAAAAGTTAAAAAAAAAAAATTTAAAATATGATATTTCAAGTATTTTTTATGGAAAGTGGTTATGAAATTGTGTTTTTCTTCCAAATCTCTGTCATAGGAGTTGATCTGCAAGTGAATACCTTAATGCTTCTAATCCTAAAATTGACATTTAAAATAAAGAAAGCTACTGATCGCTTCAATTGTTTTCATGGATTCATGGAAACGTAAATATAGATTGGGTGAGCCAGTCTTAATTTTCCAAATTGCTACTTCTAAGGCGAAATTAAATAGTACAGGTGATAATGTAATCTGATTTACCCACCCACTCTATTTTTGAGCTGGTTCTTTCTATGGTCATCTTTGTCAATCTTACTATACTAGTTTACTAGGTATCCCCAGTGACTGCAAAGTCTCCAATAGCTTACTCCTGTTTACGCTATCATACATCTACTGAAAGTCAATGAATAGATTATGTACAGTGATGGAAAAAAGTATTTACACAACACGTTTTTATGTACAACGTAGTTCAAGGAAACAAAAAACTTTGCTTTCCTTTGCAAAAATGAAAAGTAAATTTATTAAAAACTGAAAAACCTTTTTACAAAAAAATAAAAACACTTCATAATCAAACAAAATAATTAAAACAATAAAAGTGCTTGGAAAAAAGTATTTGCACACTTCCACATTTACAAGTTTATTTTAAATTTTAAGTGTGGAGCTGTCTTGGAACATTAAATATTAGCCAATCCTTTGTTCTCCTCGCAGTATGGTTTGGATCGTTGTCCTGCTGGAAATAGTACTGATCCTGGATTCCCATTTTTTCGGCACTAACACCCAAATTATGTCGCAAAATATTCACATAGCCTTCCACATTTAAAATGCTTTCGATGCTCACAAGATTTCCCACACCATGGTAGGAAACACACCCCCAAACCATGCTTTACAGTTGTTAAAACATTTTGCTTCTTTAGGGCTTCATTACAATGTCGCCATATTGTCCTTCGGCCATCTGAACCAAACAAATTAAATTTAAATTAAAAAGAAAAGATGACATTTTCCCAACAGCTTAAGGGTTTCTGTACGTACTCCCTAGCAAAAGCAAGGCGCTTTTTGCGATTCGTTTCACTGATGTATGGCTTCTTTCTTGGAACTCTACCATGGAGCCCTTCCGAATTCAGGGCATATCTAATTGTTCTGCTAGTAATCTGAACTCCAGACGTTGATTGGACCATGGTAGCCAGCTCCCGATAACTAATCAGAGGATTTTTAAGAGCTTCTTTTCTGATTTTCCTCTTCAGCCTGAGAGTTAACTTTTTTGGACGCCCTTTACGCTCACTGTTCTCAGTTAAACCATGTTCTTCATACCTTTTTATGACGTATCTACTGTAGAAAAATTCAACCCTAAGAAATCGGCAATGTGGCGATATGTTTTTTGCTGACTCCCCAGTAAAACAATTTTTTGGCGAGTTGCGGCACACAGTTCACTTGTCATTGGCATGATAATTGTCTATTGACTAAAGGAAACTGATTGAAAGACTAGAGAATACTGGTAATAAATGATTAAGAGATAAATTAGTAAACAAACCTATGACCTATGGACACAGGAGGATTAATGCCAAAGTAAACAAAGCTTGTGAGTCATAGTGTGCAAATACTTTTTTCCAAAAGGTTTTTCTCAGTTTTTAACAAATGTACTTTTCATTTTTGCAGAGGAAAGCGAAGTATTTTGGTTCCTTGAACTCATTTATTCATAAAAACATGATGTGCAAATACTTTTTTCCATCACTGTATATCTATAATATATTCATACATTTTCTCCAGCATTTGTCTGATAGAGAAAAGGTGGTCAGTAGTCGATCATCCTGGGTGAAAGCCACTCTGGTACTCTCCCAAAATCCACTTATCAAAACTCAAAGGGCCTTATTAGAATTAATGGAAGGGAATCCAGACCCTTTAATATGAGCAAAGGAGTTAAACAAGGGAACAGTCTTAGCGCTCTCTTTTTTATCATATTTATGGACGACGAGATGATTTTGTTCGTTTTTAGGTGTTAATTACACATATTTTGGATTTTTACTGCACACTTTTGCACATTTTGAGTTTTTTTGCCACATGTTTTTCAGAATTTTACTGCACAAAAACCCTGTCTCTATTTCTGAATTATAAATCTAATCTTCGCCTGATTGAATATGTTGTTCTCTGAACCATTTATGGATTCACTCCATAACAAAGTTGAATCAGGTTCCCTCTTGAATGATCTGGCAAATTCAACTGGACATAGACGCTTTTCTTTAAACAACCCCACAACAAAAAGTCCTTAAGATTTAAGTCAGCCAACCTCACAGGCCATGAGACCTCTTCCTATGTAGTGGTGTGGAAAAGTTTCGTTCATCATATTTCCTGCAGCTACCGAGAAATGCACAAGATACCCATCATGTTGAAACAAAATATCATGCCTCACCTTTAACGGTATGTCTTCCAACACTGTGGAAAGAATATACCAAATAAAGTTGGCATACATTTCTGTAACCAATCTGCCCAGAATGAAATGGAGAACAATGATATAGTTTCTAATAATACCACACCACGGATTTAATTTAATAAAAATAAACCAATGTTCTAATCTTCCATATTTAGAGACAAACATATCAATTTAAATAATGTAGTTCAATTCTTATTAAAATAATGAAATTTGTCTAGGCTTTGACCAGTAGAAATGTAAATAAATGAATTTCTCAACAAATTCTGAATATTTACATTAAAAAATTCTTTATTTATTGGGTAAATATCTAAAGATTGTAGCTGAAAGTACAAAACTTATTTAACTTAATATCTTCTTTTTTAATTTGATTAAATAAATTTATTTTTAAACGATTCTGAATTTCAGAAGTATTTTTAATAAATTGAATTTGTAAGTATAAGCAACGAGTATTACCCAGTAATAACTACTTGTCGAGATGTTGAATGCATTCCATCAATTGTTTCTGTTTCTTCTTGCTGGGTTGTTTCCAGCTGCAACAGCTCCAAATCGTAAGTTGGGCCATGTTTAAGATCTTCATTAATATAATAATCCCAAACATCTAAAACTGCTAAATTAGATTGAGGTCTTAACACCTAAAAAGAAATATACATCAACATATACAGTCAAAAACATATACACACACACGTATATATATATATATATATATATATATATATATATATATATATATATATATATACACAGAAGATTGTTTTTTTTTATTCTTATTTGATTTGAGATTTTATTTTTTTTTTTGTATAAAGAATTAAATTACACGTATCTTCACTAGTACAAATTAATAATCACTATTTCAATCATATGTCATTAGATAACACACTTGTAGTAGACATCCCCCTGTATTTACTCCTTTAGACGACATTGTGTGAGGGAATGAGAAGGAATATATAATATATAGGAATGTGAGGTTGGACTGTGAATTGTACTCAATTGTGCAGTGGACAAATTGCTCATTGGAAAATCTCATATCGATAAACAATCGAAAAGAAGAAAAAAGGTCCGATCAGGTAGCAGCAGCTGGGAGAGGACGCCAAGCACTTGAGGCCTGGACAGGAAGACAAGAAGATGTCATCTGGGAAGAGAGCCTTACTACATTGAAGACCAAGATTATTAAGCCGACCGTTGACTTATATATATTCATTTATTATCAGTTGTTAAAATAAATTTGTTTGGTTAGACAGGAGTGAATAGTCATTTTATTTAGTTGTCCTATAGGCCTCACAATTGTAGAATAAACCAGGTGAGTCAATTCATTTAAAGTGTTTACTAAGTCCCATATTTCATATATATATATTCTTATTGGTTCTTCTCACACAGTGTCACAAAAGTATTAGATTCCCAACAACAGTTAAACACCCTCAAAAGTCTATATCCAGTGCCGAGGTTTTGTTTTAATAATACATGAGTGTAAATAACCTTAATCCCCGACATAAAAGCGGAAGGCTATTCGCTATTCCTGCCAAAACATCTTTATTTTACATTTAACTTTCAGTAAGTTATTTACACACTGAAGGTTGCAACAGTGTTGTAGTACAACTTTATATATATATATATATATATATATATATATATATATATATATATATATATATATATATATATTGTAACGTTCCTCTTTCCCTCCAAAATCAAACAACGAGTTTCCTTTTTCAATATACTATTTATTTTGACATATAATATAAATCTCAGGTTGGGTTCTGACAACTGAAAACTCATTCAACATTAAATAACTATAATTTACTAATTACTAAATACATATAAAGAAACTAGATACATACATTAAGAAATTATACATATAAAATTTATTATTGTTTTCAAAAACCTTGATTGTCCCAGTCTAAACTTTGTGGCTCTGTCTATTTTCTCAGCTTGCTGGCTAGTACCTTCTCTCTTGACAGCTTTTCACATTTTCTCTTGGCGGCTCATAACCTTCTCTCTTGGTCGCTATCACCTTCTCTCCTGGCGGCCCGTCACATTCTGAGTTACATAAGGCTTGCTTCCCCCACCATCCGCACGCACTTTCTCCCCGTAGTTCGTATTGTTACCACTTTCGCACCACTATTTAAATGCCATGTAATGTTGACATTACATTTCTCCTCTGTTCCAGTTTAAAAAAAAAATAAAAATGGAATTTTAAAATTCGGTGAATTATTTACATTTTTTTTTTTTTTTTTTCATATAAAATAATAAATTTAACTTTTGACATTCACACTTTTTACAATAGAGTTCCCAACCTTGTTAGCTTACATTTACAATTTTATATACAAAATTATGGAATTATTAACACCTTAATCTTAATCTACATACAGTAATTACATAACTTGTTCATCTAATTTATGTACAGGAAAAGTAGATTGATATACAAATAATAAAATAAGCTAAATACATTATTTACCAAAAGAATTTTACCGTACAATTCCCATATCTTAAGTATAATTAACTTACAAATTAACTGTTTAAATTACTTATATACATACTTCCTCATTATCCGTTCCTATCTAACTGATAGATACTCAAAAGTCAATCACAATAATGCTTATTCATCCCTCTTTTCCCAGTCCGCTGGTGTTCCTCAAGGTAGTATCCTTGGTCCTATCCTTTACACAGTTTATACAGCTGACATCCCAACCCATCCTAACACTGTTATTACCACGTATGCCGATGATACATGTGTCCTATCCGTTAATAATGACCCAACGATTGCATCCCAAACTCTTCAATCGCACCTCACAACCCTTGAAGAATGGTGTAAAAACTGGAGGATTAAAATAAATTCTAATAAATCCCATCAAATCACCTTTACCCTTCGACGTAAACCTATGACCTCATGTCCCACAGTATCCTTTAATAATACCCCACTTATCCCTGTTGAACAAATCCGATACCTTGGACTTCACTTGGACAAACGTCTAACTTGGAATCCTCATACCAGACTGAAACGACAAGAAACCGCTCGACGTTTCCGACTACTCCAACACTTACTAGACAAACGCTCTAAGCTTCCAGTAAATTACAAAAGACTTATATACATGACTACAATAAGACCTATTTGGACTTACGGAGTTGAGCTTTGGGGCTCCACTAAGCCATCAAATTCCTCTCGTATCCAATCCTTACAATCCAAAATCCTTCGGAAAATCCTCAATGCTCCTTACTTTGTCACCAATAAAATAATCCATAATGACCTTAATGTTCCTTATGTTTCCGATTTGGCCCAATCCAGATACCAATCTTTCCATAATAAACTTCAGAACCATCCGAATCCTCTCGTCTCTAACCTTGCTTCCTCTTCTATTCCTGATAACCCTCCGAGGCGTCTGAAAAGAAGATGGCCTCGAGATCTCTTATTGTAAATACATTTTGTTTTTAGAGTGCTACCAGTGGGTAGTTTCTCAACAAGTCATTTCATGTTTTTATTTTCTGTTATCAAATTTACTTAATGTATTTAATTTTTTAATACAGTTGTAAATATCATGTGTAAATAAATAAATAAAATAATAAAAAAATTACTTATATAACATTCAAAAATATATTTTAACTTGTATTATAGGAATAATCAGAGAGAAGACACTAATTAATTAAGACAATTTCTAACTTTCTTCTAAAATTTGGATTTTACCTAGCAATATCCGGCCAAAACAACTTATTTAACTGTTAGATATTAATCTATTATCCTATCTTCCAACAATGTAATTAGACCATTTACAATATATTTAAAAGTTATCCAGATTGAGTAACCTAACGATGGTTTCGCCAGGACCCTCTAGCTCGTCAACGGAAGGGACGCTAATTTAACACCCTTTTTTATCCTCTGGGTAGGATAAAGACTACCGTGTCTCACTATAACATAATGAACGACCTGCCCTAACATGATCCAGGATCATATAACCTCCATAAAACTCATATTTTAGAATAAGTAGGATGACTGGTAATCCATTACACTCAAAATTATACTTAGTGAGTCCATGGAACTACACTTCATATAATCCTGTTCTTTTCTTACTCCAGTCATCAAACTTTCCTAACTCATCTTTAAATCGTAGAGTTAACTTTTCTGGAATTAAAGGAACTTTTGAACTAAAATAATTACCATGCTTTTCTCTGCTGGATTTTACTCCTTTGATCTCAATTTGAAACTTGAGAAGTTCTTTCTTTATATCTATAAGATTAACTGTATGAGTTTCTACTAGAAATTCTGTTGTCACTAATTTTTCTTCAAGGGTTTCTTCATCTTTTCTTAAGAGATTTTCTGATCCAATATCAATTGAAGAATTAATTTTGCTAAGCTCTTCAGTAATAGTTTGCTTCTCATCACTTTCTGAGTGACCAAAAGTAGTTTTCTCAGCCAGTTTAGTTTCTTGAAATTCAGTTATATTTGCAATAATTTGGGTTTCTAGGTTATCACAAACTTGTTTCAAAATTTCCTGTTCATTATTAGAAGTTTTTTCAGCCAGTGTAGTTTCTTGAACTTCAGTTATATTTGCAATAATTTGGGTTTCTAAGTTATCACAATCTTGTTCCAAATTTTCCTGTTCATTATTAGTTTTTTCAGCCAGTGTAGTTTCTTGGACTTCAGTTATATTTGCAATAATTTGGGTTTCTAATTTATTTTCTTGAATTTGACTTTCCAAATCCCGCTTCCAAGCCTCCTGCTTGTTTTCAATACTACGAAGAATAGTCATTACTTGTTGAAATATACCACACACATCAGCACAACTCAAATTGTTGCCACCACCTATGTTTATTTTTTCAGCCTCCATATTATTTTCACTAAACTCATGAATTTCATTTAATCCCAACAGACTTTCACTTCCGTTTTCACACTGTCTATTTTCATCAAGTAGGCTTTGTACAACTGACTCTTCCTTATTTTCTACACTAACAACATTCCCATTAGATTTTCCAAGAATTTTATTATTAAGATCTCTAACTTCTATTATCTCTCTCTGCTTATTCTCCATATTAGTCAAAAATTATTATAATTAAATAAAATTAAAATTAACAAGGATTGCGTGTTCAGTTGTCGTGACTACGTACATTTTCAAAAGCCACGCTAGTTGGGCGCCATGTTGTAACGTTCCTCTTTCCCTCCAAAATCAAACAACGAGTTTCCTTTTTCAATATACTATTTATTTTGACATATAATATAAATCTCAGGTTGGGTTCTGACAACTGAACACTCATTCAACATTAAATAACTATAATTTACTAATTACTAAATACATATAAAGAAACTAGATACATATATTAAGAAATTATACATATAAAATTTATTATTGTTTTCAAAAACCTTGATTGTCCCAGTCTAAACTTTGTGGCTCTTTCTATTTTCTCAGCTTGCTGGCTAGTACCTTCTCTCTTGACAGCTTGTCACATTTTCTCTTGGCGGCTCATAACCTTCTCTCTTGGCCGCTATCACCTTCTCTCCTAGCGGCCCGTCACATTCTGAGTTACATGAGGCTTGCTTCAACCACCATCCGCACGCACTTTCTCCCCGTAGTTCGTGTTGTTACCACTTTCACGCCACTATTTAAATGCCATGTAATGTTGACATTACAATATATATATATATATA